AGGCGGGTCGGGTTCGGGTCGGGCGGGCGGACCCCAACGGGCGGGTCGGGTCGGGTCGGGTGGGACATGAAACTGTAGTGCGTGATCCATGTCACACTCGAGAACCCTAACGGGCTGGTCGGGTCGGGTCGGGTCGGGCGGGCCCTAACGGGCGGGTCGGGTCGGGTCGGGCGGGCGGACCCCAACGGGCGGGTCGAGTCGGGTCGGGCGGGACATGAAACTGTAGTGCGTGATCGATGTCACACACGAGAACCCTAACGGGCGGGTCGGGTCGGGTCGGGCGGGCCCTAACGGGCGGGTCGGGTCGGGCGGGCGGACCCCAACGGGCGGGTCGGGTCGGGCGGGCGGGACATTCAAGTGCGGTGCATGATCGAGTTCACACGCGAACGCCCTAATGGCCTGGTCGGGTCCGGTCGGGTCGGGCGGGCGGGTCCTAACGAGCGGGTCGGATCGGGCGGGCGAGACATTGAAGTGTGGTGCATGATCGAGTTCACACGCGAGAGCCCTACCGGCGGGTCGGGTCGGGTCGGGTCGGGCGGACCCTAACGGGCGGGTCGGATCGGGCGGACCCTAACGGGCGGTTCGGATCGGGCGGGTCGGGTCGGGCAGGCGGGACATTACGGGCGGGACGGGTCGGTCGGGCGGGGCATTAAATGTGGTGCGTGATCTAGTTGACACGCGAGAACCCCAACGGCCGAATCGTGTCGGGCGGGCGTGACATTAAAGCGTGGTGCGTGATCGAGTTCACACGCGAGAACCCTAACGGGCGGGTCGGGTCGGGTCGGGCGGGCGGACCGTAACGGGCGGGTCGAGTCGGGTCAGGCGGGCGGGCCCTAACGGGCGAGTCGGGTCGGGCGGGCGGGACATGAAAGGGCGATGTATGCTCGAGTTCGCACGCGAGAGCCCTAACGGGCGGGTCGGGTCGGGTCGGGTCGGGCGGGCGGACCCTAACGGGCAGGTCGGGTCGGGTCGAGCGGGCGGACCCTAACGGGCGGGTCGGGTCGGGCGGGCGGGACAATAAAGTGCGGTGCATGATCGAGTTCGCACGCGAGAACCCTGACGGGCGGGTCGGGTCGGGTCGGGCGTGCGGACCCTAACGAGCGGGTCGGGTCGGGTCGGACGGGCGGACCCTAACGGTCGGGACGGGTCGGGCGGGCGGGACATGAAAGTGCGGTGCATGATCGAGTTCGCACGCGAGAACCCTAACGGGCGGGCCGGGTCGGGTCGGGTCGGGCGGGCGGACCCAAACGGGCGGTTCGGGTCGGGTCGAGCGGGCGGGCCTCAACGGGCGGGTAGGCCTAGGGGGTAGGCCTATGGGGTAAGCCTACAGTAGGCCTAAGGGTTAGCCCTAGGGGTAGGCCTAGGATAGACCTAGGAGAAAGGCCTAGGGGTAGGCCTAGAGTAAGCCTAGGTGGAAGGCTTAGGGGTGGGCCTAGGGTTGGTCTAGGGGGAAAGCTTAGCAGTAGGCCGAGGGGGGAATGACTAGGGATAATCCTAGGGATAGGCCTAGAGTAGGCCTAGGGGGTAGGCCTGCGGTAGTCTTCAGGTAGGCCTAGGGGGACTGCCTACGGGTAGGCCTGGGGTAGACGTAAGGGTAGGCCTAGGGGTAGGCTTAGGGTAGGCCTAGGGTAGGCCTAGGGGGTAGGCCTAGGGGTAAGCCTACAGTGAGGCTAGGAGGTAGGCCTAGGGGTAAGCCTAGGGTAGGCCTAGGAGGAAGGCCTAGGGATAGGCCTAGGGGGTAGACCTAGGGGTAGGCCTAGGGCAAGCCTAGGGGAAAGGCCTAGGGGTAGGCCTAGGGTAGGCCTAGGGGGAAGGCCTAGGGTAGGCCTAGGGTAGGCCTAGGGGGAAGGCCGAGGGGTTGGCCTAGGTTAGGCCTAGGGGGCAGGCCGACGGTTAGCCCTAGGGTAGGCCTAGGGTAGGCCTAGGGGGGTAGGCATAGGGATAGGCCTAGGGCAGGCCTACCCTCCGGGTTCTATACGCCCCCAAGGGTCCCCCAAGACTTTCCCACCTAAACACAAGACGGCCTAAAGACGGCCAGATAGACCCGATGAGAACTCCTCAAGAAGTGGAGATGAAAAGGACACAGGTGACGGCCTTCTGGACAGTGCTCGAAGCGTCGTCACACGGAGCGCCTCGCTGGCGCGGTGGCAGATTTGCCGCAGGCAGCTGGATGCCCCACCCGGGAAAGAAGAGGAACCAGAAGTTAGTATTAGCTTTCCAACCATCAGCCGGATTCTGCGAGGGCACAAGTGCGAAAAGCCAAACAACTACTGCTAACGGCACGATGGAGAACTGAAACATACTACTTCGGAAGACTGCGTCCGAGACCGATGCCAAACGAGACACGTATACATTTGAAACTTCATCCCAGCCCAAGGTGGCATCGGCTGCGTACTGAAGCGCCTTAGCAGCCCACTGCCCGAAAAGACTAGACTCACCTTCCGATAACAAGTTGCGCAAATGCAAATTGAACGCTTGTACGTCCATTATCTTCGACAGAATGAGTTCCTTGTCTTCGGGACGTGACGCCTCGCACTCCGACACATCAAGAGAGCTCAAGGAAGACCGGTTGACCTTCACTGACTCAGAATCAAAGATTAGCAGGCGCTGGGACAATCCCAAAGCGTTGCCTTCCACGAGTTCCGCAACACACCAAGCACGCCCAAAAATCCCAAAATGCTTGTCCACAACGATGACGTGTTGGAAGTCTGGATTCTTGTCTTTAATGCAAGCCATCATATCTGCAAATTTGTTCATTTCCGATAAGGGGCCGTCGATATCCGTCGGCCCCTTGCGGGCGCAAGGCTGTTAAGGTTCCTGCTGGATGCTCTCTTGTCCCCACATCCTACGTAGGGTTTTCGATTTCTCTGCACACTTCCGCGCAGACCTCCTCCTCACCTGCTCTCCTCCTCGCACACTCACACACAATCATCATCAGAAGCACACAAGCACACACTCATTCATTATCATCAGCAGCACACTCTCTCTCTCTCTCTCACACGCACACACACACACACACATTCGTCATCACCATCATCATCATCATTTTCGCACACCTTCTCATCAGCGTCACCATCACCTACTCACCATCATCATCACAATCATCATACATTCATCATCATCACCATCCCAACGCGATCATCGACCAAGAAAGAACTCCGTATGCAAGTGAATCGCGAAGAACTCTCAAACGGAAGCCCCCTCCCGATGGGGTCCCAACTTCAAAATGGTAATCCGAACGGGTCATCGGATCCCTGAATGGTCGTCAGGTTTCGGCCCCTCCGGACTGAATATAGAGGAAGTCTCGAACGGGAGCTTCCTCTGTGAGTGAACTGTGAGGGGCCTCGAGCGAGAGCCCCCTCCATATGGGGTCCGCACTTCATGTTGTAATCCGAACAGGCCATCGGATGCCTGTAACTGTCGTCATTTTTCGGCTCCTGTGGGCTGAATATGGAGGAAGTCCCGAGCGGGAATGTTGTGTGTGAGTGACTTGTGAAGAGCCTCAGGTGGGGTTCGCACTTCATATTGATAATCCGAACGGGCCATCGGATCCGTGTAACTGTCGTCAGCTTCCGACTCCTCTGGATTGAATGTGGAAAAAATCTCGAGCGGGAGCTTTGTCTGCGAGTGAATTGCGAAGAAATCTCAGGCGAGAGTCCACTCCCCATGGGGTCTGCATTTCACGTTGGTAATCCGAGCGGGCCACCAAATCTCTGTAACTGTCGTCACTTACTTTTCGGCTCCTCTGGACTGAATACGGAAGAAGTCTAAGGCGGGAACTTCGTCTGTGAGTGCCGAACGGACCATCGGAAACTTGTAATTGTCGTCACTTTTCGGCTCCAACGGCTTGCTCTGGCGCCCAAGCGGCTCGTGGGGTTGTCCCAACGGCCGTTGCCCCGACGGTTTCGCGATTTTGCTATCGGAAAACGCGCCCCTGCTGGGCGCGGCGGCGAGGGCGCCGAGGAAAATCGGCATGCACGAGGAGAACAGGTGGGACGGAGATGAGGGGGGGGGAGAAGGAGGAGGAGGTGGTGTAGGAGGAGGAAGAGAAGGACAAAGAGGAAGAGAGACATTGAACAAGGAGGGCGAGCAGGAGGAGGAGACGGAGGACGAGGAACACAAGGAGGGATGAGCAGGAGGCGCAACAGAGGGCGAGACGGGGGGGGTCGGCCAGGGCGAAGAGGAAAAAGCGAAGGGCAATCTCAATATCTTCTCATGCGGGGTCCTACCGTCGGAGTAATGTTTTTGTATGCTGCCATTTCTGTATGACTCTTCTCCCTAATCATGTATGCATCCTATTGTCTGCTAGGGAACCGCGGCGCCAAGAGAAGTCACCGGCGGGGGGCTCGAATTCCTGGCCAGTCCAAGCCGCCTCAGGAGGCCCCGAAGAGAGCCTCCAGAGCCCAAGTCGGCCAAAGAGAGCCCCAAAATGCCTCAACTCAAGACAAACAAAGTAAATCCCAATATGCACCAACAGGGAGCCAAGAGAAGCTCAGGCCCCCAGAAGCAAAAGGCGCCCAAAATCGCTGATTGACCATCAGTTTTTGACAAGGTGCCCGGCTCTCGCCTTCACGGGACTCTGGAATTCCAAGACGGTCCAAGATGCCTCCAGAATGGCCCCAAAAGAAGCCCCGAGGTCCCCAAGAAAGCCCCAAGAGACCCCAAGCTGGACGAAGACAACCCCAAAACGGACCCGAGACAGCCCAAGAGAGCCCCAAGACTGTCCAAGAGTCCCCCGGGAGGGCTCCCAAAAACGCCATAGACGGCCAACAAGGTCCCAGAATAGCCGAAGACGGCCCGAAGACGGTCAAAAGGGGCCCAAAGGTAGCCAAGAGAACCCAACCCCAGAGAGGGAAAAAAAGGAGGCCCCCACGAGGCCCGAAAAAGGCCCGCAAGAGACCAAAAAAACACTTGGGAGAGCATCTAGAGGACTTCACGAGCAACAGGAATGAGGGAGGAGGCGGAGGAGCGGCAGCCGAAGTCAGAGAAGAAATCCTTGCATGGGGGGGAAATGAGGAAGAAACGAAAGGAGAGGGAGAAGAAGAATCGAAAAACTCCGACGGCGGGGCCCCGCCGGAGAATCTCCCAAACTACTGTGGGAATAAATCTCATCGTCGTCGCTGTGAATGCAGAGGCTGAAGGGGCCCTGGGACACACAAATAAATACGCACAAATAAAAAGATTCCCCATATTTTTTCCATATTTTCTGGGTTTCTGTCTTCCCCTCCACTGCCCATATTTTCCTATATTTTCCTGGGAGGGGACGATTAATTGTGTCTGTGTGTGTTTTTCCCCTCCCGAGTGAATGCAGAGGCGCTTCCCGTCTCCTCATCGCCCTTTTCCTGCTCATTTGGGCGGGTTCCCTCTTCCCGCCCCCTGCTTTGCCTCCCCCTCGTTTGCCTGCCTCAACATCCCCCATCCACCATCCACCCCGCCCCCCGCCCCCTTGGCAAGGACGCGCAAGTCGATGTTTTTTGGCGCCGTTGCCGCAGCGGCAGGCACCGGCACATTCCCCTAGAGCCAGATCGCGAAACCGCCGGGGCACCCCCCGTAGGCCAGGCCGTTGGGACAACCCCACGACCCGCTGGGGCGCGGGAGCAAGCATCTGGGACAACCCCGCACGTTTCGAGCTAGTCGCGGCCGCGCTCAGGCGGGAGGCAGCGCGAAACCCACGTTTGCAACGACCTGGTCCGCTGCAGCCCTGGAGCCCCCCGCTCTCGTTTGTCAAACTCCCTGCACGCCTTCCGAAAGGTAGCCGCCGAACCGCGTTCCAGGAACTCTCGCGTTCAGAATGCCCCACGTCCTTGCCATGGACTCACAGACGAATCTCCCGCTCGAGACTTTAGCCATCTTGAGGTTTCAAAAAGCCAAAAGTAACGACCGTCACAAGGATCTGATGGCCCGCTCGGATTAATAACATGACTTGCGGACACCACCGGGGAAGGGCTGTCGCGTGAGACCTGCTCACAATTCACTCGCAAACGAGGCTCGCACTCGAGATTTAGTTGCCATATTTAGGACCGAAAAGCCCAAAAGTGGCGACGGTTACGAGATTCCGACGACCCGCTCGGATCAATAATATGATCCGCGGGCCACCTCGCGAGAGGGCCCCAGCCTGAGACTTCCTCGCCGTTCACTCACAGACGAGGCTCCCGCTCGAGATCGCGAATCCCGAAAGTAGCGACAGTGAGGGCCCTGAACGGGAACATCTGCTGGCCGCCGGCACTGTCTGAATAAAGACCACAGGTTTCGTCCCAGAGCCATGTCAACGCCCACCCATGAACATGCGTCTGCTCCCCAGCGGTCAACGAACCAGATTAATCGTTGAATAGATGCGGCACGAGACAAGTGTCCAAAGGACATGCACGTCTACCCATGTAATTGTCGGCATCTGCAACTTCTAGTCTGCACACTGTGGCCATCGAGTAGTGCATGTCTGCATTGAAGTACAGAGGTTGGCCAATCCTCAGCCTGTGCTTCAATGCCACGCTCACAAAGAACGCGCATCGGGCGTTGATGTCAGCGAATTCTTTGCAGCAGGTAGAATTTCATCGCTGCTGCCCATGTGGCCTGAAGCGTCAATCGCAGAGAAAATGATATCGCATACAGAGACAGCTCGTTTCACGGGCGTTTGCCTTGGGAACATTCGGCGACGCGTTTCGAAACGGGGGGTGGGCACCCCCCCAACAGTCGGCGCCGTCGATCAGAACCAGGGGGAGTCCCCTCCCCCTAACCCCACGCCTCCCGAACCCCCCCCTCCCAAGGGGGGAGGGGGTCCAAACCCTCCCCCCCCCCTGGCGCCGGCGCCGGCGGCCGCCGTAGCGCCAACGCAGCAACGATGACCAGAGAGAGCCCAAGAGAGGGTGGGGGGCAGGGGAGGGGTTCAACCCCCCCCCCCCGCGCCGGCGCCGGCGCTTGCGCTGGCGGCGGCCAACAGCGCCGACGGCGGGGGCGCAACGACGATGGCCAGAGAGGGCCCAGAGGCCGCAGAGGGAACATACAAATCGCCATATCGAGCCCTCGCATGCTCTTCAGACGCCCCCGAGACCCGTCTGACGAGACATCAAGAGGCACCCTCTGATCCTTTGCGAAAACACAGTGGCGGGAAGAGCCGAAGGCCACGCCTCCACCACCACCCCCACTACCACCACCGCCACCACACACCACCACACCACCACCACCACCACCGCCGCCACCACACCCACCACCACAACCACCACAACCCACCATCACCACAACCACCACCATCACCACAAACCACCTCACCACCACCACCAACAACGCCATTACCACCAGCACCACCACAACCCACCACAACCCACCACAACCACCACCACCACAACCACCACCACAAACCACCACACCATTACCACCACCATCACCACCACCGCCACAACAACCCAGGGCCAACACCACCACCACGAACCACCACACCACCACCACAACCACCACCATCACCACCACCACCCACCACCGACCACCCACCACCACCACCAGCACCAACACCAGCAGCAGCAGCAGCACCACCACCAACACCACAGCCCGCCACCACCACCACCACAAACCACCACGCCACCACCACCACCACCGCCACCACCACGACCACCACCATCACCAACTCAACCCACCACCACCACCACCACCAAGCCACCACAGAACCACCACCATCACCACAGCCACCACCACCACCATCACAACAACAGCTCACCACCACCACCACCAATACAACAACCCACCACCACTACCATCACCATCACCACAATCTACCA